ATGTGATGCTGCAACTGTGGTGCTGCACAATTAAACAGTTTATTCCCCAAAGAAAAATGCATGTTTCTGTCAGGGGTTGCCAGATCATGTTTCATATTTCAAGTATGGCTAGGCCCTTCTTAATCCAGCTGTTCTGGAAACAAATAAAATCGTGCTGATATATTATTTAGCTTAGATATAGCCAAGTTCGAGATGGTCTCTTAAATGGTGTACATGAGGACGTCCTGATATATCTATGGTAATATGGTGTGTAAATCTTAAATATAGATTGGATTATATATATTTTTCAGTAATGGGAAGACAGCAAGCCCTCTCTTCTGTCTCAGGATAGATTAACCTAAATGGTTAAGCACTCAACTTGCTTATAGGGATTGCACTTTTATCTATTGTGGTAGACCTTATTGTGGATAATGGCTGTGGTTTAGTCTAAGGTCAAGCTTGAGAAAACAGCCATAAACATGGTCTCTAATCATATTTCAGATTTACAGGCTGCAAAAGAATATTAATGCCTTCCGTTTTTGTTTGCGGATAAATTATGAAACATACCACGCTATGTGAGCTTATTAAATTTGCATAGGTCACAGTTTGGTCTGTTCACTTGGCTTGAAACAATCTGCGTTTATATGCATCAACCCCAACCATACAGGTTTTATGAGCAATGTTGACGGGTTGGTTGGTCATGCTGTGCCGTGCAGTTGAAGCTAACTAAACTGCTACAGTACAGCCTAGCCTTATCCTATAATCCTAAAATCACACGCAGAGAGTGAAAAGCCTTGTCCATTCCAGCTGGTTATATACTCCGACTTAACCACACTTTATTCATGCTGCATTTGGGTTTTGCAGCTGGACTAGATCTGGGAACCTACTGCTTTTATTTTACAGTGTAATAGTGGCAACCTTTCTTCAGATTTCATTTTTTTTTGTAAAATGCATTACATTCCAGGCAATATGTATTATATTTCTGACAATATATAACACGATATTACAGATTTCAGATTTAATATTCTTCATATCATGTATGCATGCATGTAATACAGGTGTTTAAAAAACTGTCAGTCAAACCATATATACAGTGATGGTTAGATATACTGTAAGAACTTGCCTTTAAAGTAATCTGGAACCTGATAAGTGGTATTTATTGTGATCGATAGACCACAATGTACAAAGTCTGTCTGATTAGGTTTTTTAAGCAACATGAACACAACATAAAAGAATGTGTTACCATGAATAACATGCCAGTGATTTAACTGGTAGTCAGGACACACAACTTGGAATGTTCAGTTTTGTAAAAAAAGTAAAGCAAAGACATCTGGGAACATTTTTCACATATAAAAGGGTTAATCAAAATAACAGAACCATGTAACAATATATTAATGTCAAAGACCCAATAAAAGTAGGGCTACTCTTGTCTTGACTTCATCCTGGTGTTCTTAAAGCTACTCAATTAATTTTAGCAGTATATACTGGGACATTATCATCCCGGAATATGGGATCATTATCAGGAAAGTGTGTTTGCACAATAGGTGCTCCTGGTCTTGTAAAACTGACTCATTTTTGTTGGCTGTTATGTAATCATGCAAAGCATTCCCTGGATGTCATAATTTCCATCAGATGGCTGCCCATTCCATTATGAATCCCCCATGTACAGTTGTCAGCAGACATTGTGGTTTGAATGCAACCTTTGGCTTCTTTTAAACATAAATCCATTTAGACATAGAAAATACAGTGCCTCCACAAAGTATCCCCCCACAGTGATTACTTTTTTGTTCATTTTGAAGTGACTCTCTTCAGAATTAAAATTAAATAAAGTAAATTAGGACTAGTATTTAATTTTCGAGAGCTCACACTAAATTAAACAGGGTACATCTTTGTTAATTTTAAATCCACTTATGCCCAATTGTATGCTTGCACAATAAATATCACTGACTATGGGGAAGTCTCAAATGTAATATGGCAGATCAGATCAGTCCTGCTGTCATGAAGACCAAGGAAATGCCTGTGAAGCTCCGGGATGAAGTTGTTAGGAGGAAAAAAGATGGAGAAGGTTATTAAAACATCAGCAAATCTTTGAGCATTCCTAGGAGCTCTGTGAAATCCATTATGAAAAAGCAGAAAAAATATCACACAACCCAGACAATACCAAGACTGAGTGGTCTGGCAAGAAGGGCAATTGTGAGAGAAGTGCCCAAGTGAAGTGCCCAGATATGACACTGAAAGGGTTACAGAGCTCACTGGCTGAAATAGGAGAACTTGTGCAAACCACAATAATAGCATTTGCTCTTCACAGATCCGGCCCCTGTGTGAGAGTGGCCAGAAGGAAGTCACTTCTGAGAAAGGGCATATCAGAAAATCTGAGAGTTTTTGGAAAAAGATTTTGTGGTCTGATGAGAGTAAATTTTAGGTATTTTGTCTAAAATCAAAGCATAATGTTTAGTGCAAAATACAGCAGGTAACATCCAGGTAACCTCATTCTTGTGCTCAAGCAAGTTGATGGAACATTTTTTGCTATTAATGCTACTTAATATTTTATTGCCACTAAAGCTAACAAAACATTTCTGTTTTAAAAACCTTGCCAGCTTCAGGGACCCCGCCAGATGAAACAAAAAAGAAATCTCTTTAATGTTGAACTTTACAGAATAGATCCATGAAACTTGTGGGGTGATGGTTGTAAGGTTTCAGCAAAATTCCCAAAAATGTCAAAAACTGCACAAAAACAGTTGAAAACAGAGATGAGCCCAAAATGTTTGGGCATAGGGAAAGGTAAAAAAGTATTTTTCTTCTTTTTCTTAGTCTTTTCAGTCCTTTCAAACAAGTTTACAGTGGTGCGCATTTCTGATGTGCACTATATATCTGCAATATGTGACATTAATTTTAATTTTAGTTTAAATTCCTAGTTTATTTACATTTACAGCACGTAGCAAGTGCCCTTATCCAGAGCAACTTATAGAAGTGCTTTGGAGACTCTATCAAAAACACATCCTCATGCTAGTTTACTAGGTCAGGGACTATGAAAAATGTATATTAATTAAGTAATTTTATTACTTTTAATATGTTATTTTTATACTTTATTATTGGCATTAAATAAAGAATATGAAAAATAAAATGAACCAACACAAACCTAAAAATAAAGACAAAAAAACTTAGTCATTTAATTATGACAAATGAAATGCCAGAATAGATCTATGAAGCTTGTGGGGACAGGACAGACTGGTCTGTCAGTGCATAGCCATAAGCCATAAACAAATGCCTTAGTTGATGGAAGATTTAGCACTCACCATGTTTATGAGGGCAAGGAGGTTTAAAGACCAGTATGATTTTTTTTCACAGAACAAAAGGTGGCTTATAAATCGATTCTGTTTGCCATGGCATCTTCTTTAAATGCTGTACAACACTTTAAATCCAGCACGTCAGCCGAGACACTTAAAACATTTTAAAAGTGGCAGTTTCCCTGTGTGACATGCTTTGTACACTGTAGATCTTTTTTTCTCCTCTGTTTTAATGTCAATCTGTTTTCTTTTCACCTCACTTAATTCACACCTAATTCACTCCTTAATTCATTCTTTTCTGTAATGTGTCTCTAGATTGGATCTTTACAGGTGCTGTTACACTGCTAAAATATTTTTATTGGCATAGAAGTAAGTCAGAATAACTTCAACTTCTGCCTTTCTGCCTTTACTTTCACCATTCAGTAGTCACAGTTTTGTGGCCGTCGCTAAATGCAAATAAACTGTGTCAGGAACACACTTTGCAGTTTATGGGTGATCAATATACACATGCAGGTAAGAAGAAAATCAGTGTTTGTAAAACTTTTGTAAATCTGGCTGCAATTATTAATTTGTTTTGGCTTATGCAAAAATTTACACACACATTTACTAAAAGATAAATGAGGCCTGTTATGCATGTTTTTGTCATTCTTAAATCATTGTTCTTTATCATTATTAAAAGAAAATGTTCTCAGAAATCATAGAAGAATTATAAAGATATGCTGCATAAACGACACCATTTCGAATTCACAGCAGCACTTTAGGTGCATCCCAGGTTTATAATAATGTTCCGGTAGTGTGCCCAGTGAACTATTCTCATATTTCTGGAATGTAACAAACTCAAAAACTGAAGTAAATCTTCTAAAATATTAGAAGATGGCTATTGTTGTGACCTGCTGCAGAGCTTTATCTAGATAATTTGCTTCACACCAGCTGAAGAAAACAGTGAAAAACAGTTTCACACTTCTACAGTGTTATATTTATATTATTGAATTATATATAAAGTAGCCTATAAGCACATGGAATATTTGTGGCAAGAATTCCAAAGAGGCAATCTCACCTTTTGCAAAGTGCAAAGCCTGTTATGATAATGCTATTAGTATTTAACAGCATTGATATTGCTGACTGGTATGTGAATTTTTATGTGATGTTATTTTAATACAATAATGTTACTTCAGACTTGTAATGAATTTGGATGGTTTTCTGTTGAGTATATAATTCACTTGCATGCATAAAAAACAAAGCAGGATAGATAGG